CTAGAGGATGCGGGGTTAGGGCAACACTTCTGGTCAGAAGCACTCATATACTCAAATTACATATTAAACAGACTATGATCCAGCGTGTTAAACAAAACTCCATATGAGTTAATGTACCAGAGAAAGCCACAGGTAGCACACCTGCATGTATTCGGGGTTACGGCTGATGTACACATCCCCAGGCAATTACGACGCAAGGGCGACAAAGTATCTAGGAGATTGAGGTTTATGGGGTATGAACCAGGGACAAAGGGATTCAGATTCATAGATAGTAACAACAAATTCGTAATATCCCGAACAGCTGTTTTCCATGAGAACGCCATCTGGTCTAAAATACACCTCAATGAGGTGTTCCCCAATAAGGAGAGACCCAAAGACAGCCTAGAGGGGGCAGAACACACTACAGAAGGGAACATAGAACAGGGAAAGGCCAAACCAAAGGGACAGGAGATACAAGTTAGAGAGTGGAAAGAAAACCACCCCAACATTAAGCTGGACTCACTCACAGAGAAGGAGGCCAGATACCTATATGACACTGAGACACCACCAGCCAGACCAATTAGGGCAAACGGGATAAAGCACCAAAGAAACTAGAGGAGGAGTCCTATCTATGCACACTAATCAACTAACCCCCAACACATACGATGACGTGTTAAGGTTACCAGAGGAGGAAAGGGCTAAATGGGAACAGGCCATGGAACGGGAGATGAATAGTCTAAGGGAGCTAAAGGTATACACCCCTTCCGAAGTCCCAAAGGATAAGACACCCATAGGCACCAGGTGGGTCTACAAAATTAAGACATTGGAGAATAACAAAGTCTTATACAAGGCCAGACTAGTAGCGCAGGGGTTTGCTCAAAAGTACCCAGAAGACTACACAGAGACATATTCCCCCACAGTCAGGGCCAAGAGTGTAAAGTGTGCCCTGGTGATAGCATCTATACTAGGCCTAGAAGTACATGCTGAACTCGATAAGGAGATTTACGTAAGAGCTCCTCCCAGCAAAAACACAACAAAGGGAGAAACCTGGATTCTAAATAGAAGTTTGTATGGAATGAAACAGTCAGGGAAGCATTGGTACGAGTGCTTATCCAAAATCTTGAGGTCTATGGGATTCTCAGCCACCTCAGCGGACAATTGCTTCTTCATTAAAAAGGTAAATAATTCCATTGAATACGTTCTGGTATATCTGGACGATATATTATACATCAGTGACCAGGCTAGCAAATGCAATAATTTTGCTGATGAGTTGGGGAAACATTTCTCACTAAAAATATTGGGAAAAGTCGACAAATACTTAGGGGTACAGATCACAAAAACTGACAAAGGCTTCCAGCTTTCACAAAAGGACAAAATAATCTTACAGAAATGCAATATGATTAATGCCAAAACTTGTGAGACACCAATGCAACCGGACTTTTTAAAGGATATGTATAATGAAGCGGAAGCATTCAAGGACAATACACTTTATAGATCCACCATAGGGTCACTACTGTACATTGCGAACTGGACAAGGCCCGACATCGCCTTGCCAGTTAACCTATTATCCCGACACGTAGGTAACCCCACCATGTACCATTGGGAGGCTATCAAAAGGGTACTGAGGTATCTGAAGCACAGTGCTGATGCTTGCCTATCTCTGGAGCCAGAAGCATCCACAAAACCTACACTAACCTGCTACGCTGATGCTGATTGGGCTGGGGACATGAAAAGTAGGAATAGCACATCAGGCTACGTGTTCTTCCTCAACAACAGTCCAGTACATTGATACACAGGTAAACAGAACCTGGTAGCCACCTCTACGACAGAAGCCGAATACATATGCCTATCCAAAGCCGCCAACAACCTGGTCTGGTTTGACGACCTACTCACCAACGTTTGGGTCGAACCCACCTAACCAATCACTATCCACGAGGACAATAAAGCTGCCATTGAAATATCGAGAGCTGATGCAGTGGGCCAGAGGTCGAGGCACATCAACATCAAACACAAGCATGTCAGGCAATTTTCCAACATTGGGTTCATAGAAGTCATACACTGTGACACCAAAGAACAGACAGCCGACATACTAACAAAACCTTTACAAAATAAACAGCATGCATACCTAACATCCAAACTGGGCATTCTCTCATAGGTAACCCCTCATGCGCACGTAACCCATAGCCAGTCAGGTCAGGCATTTAGAGGGGGTTTTGTCACATATAAATACCTAACCTCATGCCCAGGCCAGGCGACAGGGGGCTGGTGAGATCGATCCCCAGGGTCCACCCTAACCCATTGACCCCTCCTTACCTTAGCCCTGCCCCAGTGGTACTTAAGGTCCAACCATGTGGTCCAGAGCCAGTTCCAGTACAGCACCTGTAAGGAAGAGACATGTTATGAATAAAGACTTCTGATTAAATGAATACCTGTGTGATGGAGTTATTGGGCTTGATCCTTGAACACCTTTAACAGTTTAATAAAACAAGGAAAATTGAAACCAAAACAACAGTTGGAAACGGACCTGAATAGAGAAATCGATTGGTGGACCTACTCACAAATTCAATCTAAATATAAGGAACATATAAAGACACATGAAATTCAAAGAGAGAAACAAGAATTAGATAAAATAATATTAGATTCAGAAGAAAAACTAATTAGCAAAATTTATAAATTTTTATTACTATATAAAATGGAGGAGGAAACAGTAAAGAATACAATGATCAAATGGGCGCAGAATTTTAATTATACAATAGATCTGGAGAAGTGGAAAACAATGTGGCAAGTGAATGCAAAATTAACACTATCGGCGGCATATAAGGAAAATCAGTTGAAGATGTTTTACAGATGGCATCTGTCACCAGATACACCCGAATAACAGTGCAATTTGTTGGAAATGTAAGAAATCCCAAGGAACATATTACCATTTATGGTGGACGTGTCTGGCAGCAAAAAAAAATTTGGTCAAACATTTTTATTTTTTTATTTATATGCCGCCCTTCTCCGGAGACTCAGGGCGGCTTACAATGCGTTAAGCAATAGCCTTCATACTTTTGTATATTCATACAAAGTCAGCTTATTGCCCCCACAAACTGGGTCCTCATTTAACCTACCTTAGAAAGGATGGAAGGCTGAGTCAACCTTGAGCCTGGTATTCGAACCTGCAGTAATTGCAGGCAGCTGTGTTAATAACAGGGTGGTTTAGACCACTGTACTACCAAGGCTCATTAAGAAATGGATAGAACAAATAACAAAACAACAAATAGAAAGAAGCCAGAAACATTCTTGTTAGGAATTTTTACAAAATCATATTCCAAAGAAGTAAAATATTTGATGCTACACATCTTGACATCAGTACAAATAACCTATGCAAAAAACTGGAAACAGGAAAGAACCCCAACAGAGGAAGAACTAATAGATATTAGAACGCGCCGAGATGGATAGATTAACAAAAGAAAAAGAAGAGACAGAATATTATAGAATATGGAATAAATGGTATAATTGGCTTAAGACCAACAATAAAGAACAATAACTATTAGGAGAGAAAAATAGAAGTACGAAATAGAGATGTATCATATGTGTGGAATGGTACAAAAATGTATATAATATGAAGATAGAAATGTATAATAGTAAAGAGATAACTAAAATGTACAGTTCTCTATAGGGGAAAAGGGGGGGAAGAAGAGGGGGGGAAAGAGGAAAAGGAGGGGAAGAAGACGGAATAATAGATTAAGATAAAGGGGAAGAAGATTAAAGTAATAACTGGAAGACCACTAAGAAATAATGCTTAAATATGATAAGTTATATGTTGTATGTTGTGTAAATGCCCAATATGTGTTCTAATAAAATTACGAATTTAAAAAAAAAAGAAAATACCCAATTTTTGGCATTTTTACAAAAAATGTCACCTTTACACTCAATTTGTGAACTATTGGAAAGCAGCAGAATGAAATTTTATATTCGAAAACCTTATGTTGCTAAGTTATTATGCACAAAGTTTCATGTTTCTCATACCTTTCCTTCCAGAGATATAAAAAGCCAAACTTTACCCTTTTTTCATGCTGCAGTCATTTTTGGCTAATTTTGCTTCAAATTATCTAGATGGAGATCACTCATGAGAATGTTTTTATTATTTTGTTTAATAGAGCACAAGAAGTTGTACAAGATGGCCAAGTTTTGTTTCTCTCAACAAAATATTGCCTGAGAAATTATGTCTCAAAGTTGCTGAAATCTCAGTCATACTGTCGAAGGCTGTGGTATGGGGGTCACACAAATGACTCTATCTCCACAAGTATTACATCAGTAAATGTAACACTTTACCAATGTTCATTGGGGACTTGTGTGCATGTTTACACCAAATTTCATCGAAATCCGTGGTGGTCAAGCTGGTTACTTTTCTGAAATCAGACCACTTGACATGGAATAACCCCAATATTAGTTTGATCGCTATACTCCTTCAGTAATTTTGCTTGGTTTCATTTGAGGGTCTAAGAGGAACTTCGCCTCCTCATGTGTTTATCCCATAAATTCTGAATACAAGCTGAGTGTAACAAGATGCCATGTCACTCCACTTGCTACAAAAGGCATCATGATTGCCTTTAACCATTAACCAGTGGAACAACTTGCCTTCAGAAATCGTGGGCACTCCATCACTGGAGGTTTTTAAGAAGACAGTGACTTGTCTGAAATGGTATAGGTTCTCCTGCTTAAGGAGGGGGCTGGACTAGAAAACCTCCAAAGTCCCTTCCAGTTCTATTCCTATTCCTATTCCTATTCCTATTCCTATTCCTATTCCTATTCCCCCTTTGGAAGAATGAATGATGTCTCTTTGCATTGCTGTCAAGTCGTACGTCCCGGAGGAAAAAACTCCTGTTAAAGCACTATCCCTTCATTCTGCTGTTGCTGTTTTCGCCCTCCCGCTCAGCCATCCTGCTCTGGATTAGGAGCGTTGCCACGCGCTCAGGAGGCAGAGCGTTGCGCGATTTGAACCTTTGCTCTTCCCGTACCCATTCGAACACTTTTGAGGAAGTGCTAAAATGGCGGCGGGAGGGGAAGTTTTGGGAGGGAGTGGCGGACGGTGAGTGCCGAGGAAACCGGGATATTAATCACACGGGTGCCACAGTTTGATCTTCGATTAGGACAGAGGCGGGAGGTGAGCGGAGGCTGCTAAGAGACCACTGTCTCTTCCGGCTGCCATAGTTGGAAGGTGCCTCGTATATGATGGGGGGAGGGGGGTGATTGCCCCACCTGGCGTTGGGAAAAAGGCCGTCGGTCTGCCCTCTCAGCCTCCTGCCTCATATAGCGATTGCGTACTCGCTGCTTTTCAAGGCTCTTAGTTTGCCGGTAGCAAATAGTCGGTCTACTGTCAAGCGGTGAACCCGGGTTGCCTGTGAGCGGCTAAAATAGGCATTCTGCCCACCCGCCACCCTACAGAGCCCACATTGCCTTAACCCCGTTTCACAAACTCTTAACTTAGTTAAGAAATCGAAGCTTTTCCCCTATTAGCATTAAATAGGAAACACGCTAACTCGTTCTCCTGAATACCTCGCGCTGCATGTTAAAGGTGGGATGAAACTGATATTTAAAACGGCCAAGGCTTTAACGTGAAATGCTGGATCATTTGTGTGCAGAAATAATTAGATTGGTTTCTTAAGTAAGAAAAGTCATCATTTAGGGCTGCTGAGAGAAAGGAGCAGCAACAGCAGACTGTCAAGTTTTGAAAATAAAATATTACTGAGATCGCTTCTCTTTTTCTAATAAACCAAAGTGTATGGGTATCTACATTTTTGCATACTGTAGGAATAAGCATTTTGCTTATTATTACTATTAATAATTATTATTACTATTAATAATTATAATAATAATTATTATTATTACTCCTGTAAATACTATCGAGTTTAGTAGTTTGATCAGTACTGATAGGTTCTTTAAGAAATTTCAAACTAGCCAAACGATATAGTTTTTTCCAGATTATCTTAAAATAAATTCAACATAAATGTAACAGTATATTTCTAATATTTTAAGGATGATGATTTTCTGTAATTTTGCACACATTTTGGGCAGTTGACAGATTGTATGTTTTATTCTTCCTTTGTTTGCATAAAGAGCCATCTGTTTCCATATGCTGGAAAGATTAAAAAATAGTAAATAACATCATTTGAAACCATAGATAATAATCTTACAATGAATTTAGATATTCTTCAATAAATCTATCAGTTCCGATGGTTTGGTACTGCAGGCTAACTCACTGCTCACTCCAGGAGTTCTGAGTGGTTCATTGTTGACTCAGCCTCATGCAATATGCTGACTCTGAGTCTAAACCGCTTAGAAAGGGGTGTAAAGCATTGTGAAGCAGTATATGTGCTATTGCTATTGCTATACAAAATTAAAACAAAATTGAAAAATAGTAGAAAATTCAATTGATAGATAATAGTTATAAAATTGCATTTACTCAAGAGTTTGCTTTCCTCTTAGGAAAAAAAAATAAGTCCTATGTTCATGCTACAGCTTTCTTATCCTGCCAATCTGTAGTTGCCAATACCAACTAAAATGGAATCTGGTGACACCCCCTCCTCCCAATAAACGTGGATCTGGCATACTTGTACTGTGTAGAGCCATGCTCTAAAAAGAACAAGCCTGGGGCAGAAAATTAAATAATTATTATATATTAAAATTGTTTTGGCATAACAGGCACATGCAATTCAGTGGTGGGTTTTACCTACCTTTGCTACTGGTTCACTCACACGCTTCTGCGCAGAGCGTATTTGATGACGTCCGGGTGGGTGGGTGGAGCCTTCCCCCCCCCCGCTACCAGTTCGTCCAAACCAGGGCAAACCAGTAGCAACCCACCACTGGTGCAACTTACAAAAGTCAGGACAGATTGATTTTTCCAGAGTTGATTTTTAAGGACTTAAAGCTATGAGATGAATTTACAGTACAGGACTTAAACCCAACATTGCCCCATAAATTTCTTCCAAATACTGCAAAAATGATTTTAAAAATGACCCTACATTTTTGGCTGTAACAATATTAAAAGGCCTGAGTGGTGTAAAAATTATGCTGGTGAGCTATGATCTGTCTATATGATGCATATTTACATCTTGTATTTTGTAAAATGAATTAATATGTCATCAGTATACATACTAATCTTTTCTCATACATACAGAGTTATAAGTACAGAGATTTTTATTTTACAGTGCTGCTTGACTTTACACTTTTGCAAGTTGGGTGATCATATAAATACTTAAAATATATAAATAAATATCCCACACATTTTCTTTAGTGGAAATAAGACTAGGTTTGGGAAATGTATGACAACTTTCCCATTTCATATATGGAAGAGTTTTTAAAAGAATAACAAAATCAAAATAATGAGAGAAATGGCAAAATCAAAATGTGAGGGGGACAAAAAGTAGAAATGAATGGAATCTCCAAATGCCTAGGAAGGATTAGGACCTGGCTTTTCCTTCTTCTATTTCAACAACACTACCTTTCTTCTTCAGTAAGAAATGAAAGTTGACTAATGTAACATGTAATTTGCAGAGAACATGTAAAATGATTTCCCCTTTTGGATTCATATATTACTATATTAAGATTTTAATACTGTATTGCCTACATTATCTCTTGCTGAAAAACAATATGTAAGGATGCAGACTTACTGTATCTGTTTATGTGATATAATATATTATTAATGTGAAGTTATGTTTTTTTTCAGATCTTCAGTAGTGACTGACAATTATAAATGAAACAATACTGCAAGACTGCTTGTGCATCATATTTCTTGGATGAAATTTAAACATTTATATTCTGTAAAGTGGGTATAATCCCTACCAGTCTGCTTACATGTGTAGATCATTGCGTTACTGTGTTAGCCATTGTCTGTATGCAGCAATGACAAGACTGGAAGAAGCAAATCGAGAAGTGAACATGCATTCCTCTGTCCGCTATCTTGGCTATTTAGCCAGAATGAATTTGTTGGCAGCAATATGTATGGGTCTTTATGTCAGGTGGGAAAAAACTGCAGATGCACTAATACTCATAATTTTTATCCTTGGATTATTTGTTCTTGGAATTGCAAGTATACTTTATTACTATTTTTCAATGGAAGCAGCAAGTTTAAGTCTCTCTAATCTTTGGTTTGGATTTTTACTTGGCCTTCTTTGTTTCCTGGATAATAATTCTTTTAAAAATGATGTAAAGGAAGAAGCAACAAAATATTTACTTTTTTCCTCCATAATTATAAGAATATTGTATGCTTTGGTGCAGAGAATATGTGGCTGTGTTCATCATCGGCCTATTTTACTAACGATGGTTGAAGTACTTGAGCTGGTTGGATTTGCAATTGCCAGTACAACTATGCTGGTGGAGAAATCCATGAGTATTATTCTATTGATTGTGGCTTTAGCAATGCTGATTATTGATTTGAGGATGAAATCATTTTTGGCAATTCCAAATTTAGTAATTTTCGGACTCCTTGCCTCTTTGTTATTTTTTCCATCCTTACATATACCAACAAATCCATTTCCCTTGGGATGTTTTTTTAGTTGCTTAATAGCTGATCCCCTTCTTGATGTTTACTTCAGTGGACTTTCAGTTACTGAACGTTGGAAACCTTATTTATATCGTGGTCGAGTTTGCCGAAGATTCTCAGTCATTTTTGTTGGATTTATTGAACTGATTTATTTCATCCTTTCAGCACTTAAACTAGGTGATTTGGATCTCTGGTACTTTGTAATACCAGGCTTTTCCATTTTTGGCATTTTCTGGATCATCTGTCACATCATTTTTCTTATAACTCTCTGGGGATTTCATACAAAACTTAATGACTGTCACAAAATATATTACACACACAGAGCAGACAACAATAGCCTCGACAGAGTAATGGCATCTAAAGGAATGCGCCATTTTTGTTTAATTTCAGAGCAACTTGTCTTTTTCAGCCTTCTTGCAACAGCAGTTTTGGGTACAGTATGTTGGCAGGTAGGTTTTAATGTGTTTATAGTCCTCTGTCAAACTGTCTTTAAAGTATGTGTAGCAAAAAAGAGATTTTAAAACAATTATGGTTAAGGCTTTTGACAAAAAATAAAAGAGGATAGAATATTATGCCTTGAAATGGACCCACCATGCTCTGTTTATTTTATTTTTGTTTATTTTATTTTTAACCTTTATTACTTTATAGGTTAAATACTCCTTTCTCCTGGTTTTTCCCCACAAGAGCTATGTAAAAATTTCATTGGGCTAAAAAAAAGGACAACCCTTTTTATTGTGTGGGCTGCATTTTATCATTTGACTGATGGGCAAGCAACAGATTTGGTGACACATCATAAAAGTCAGTGCGGAAACTTTTCAGCTAATGGGAAGAATGTTTAGGGGATGGATATTTACTTTTGCCATTTATTTTAATTTGTTCAGCTACATTTGTAGATGTACATTAGCATTATATTTGGTGCTTGTTAATTTTTTATTTTTTTTTAAATTTGATTTATATGCCGCCCTTCTCCGGAGACTCAGGGCGGCTTACAATGCGTTAAGCAATAGCCTTCATACTTTTGTATATTTATACAAAGTCAGTTTATTGCCCCCACAAACTGGGTCCTCAATTTACCTACCTTAGAAAGGATGGAAGGCTGAGTCAACCTTGAGCCTGGTGAGATTCGAACTTACAGTAATTGCAGACAGCTGGTGTTAATCACGATGCTATCAGTCTGCTGAGCCACCAGGCCCATGGCTCAGCAGCATGATTACATGTGAACAAATGTGATTACATGTGATTTCTGTCAGGTTTTCAGACCGTCTTCTTCTTATGTCAGCACTAGGATAAATGAGTGGCGTAGGAGGCTAATGCCTCCTAAGGCAGCATTTAACATCCAGCTGCCTGCAATTACTGCGAGTTCAATTCTCCCCAGGCTCAAGGTTGACTCAGCGTTCCATCCTTTCTAAGGTGGGTAAATTGAGGACCCAGTTTGTGGGGGCAATAAGCTGACTTTGTATAAATATACAAAAGTATTGCTTAACTATTAAACTATTGCTTAACACATTGTAAGCCGCCTTGAGTCTCCGGAGAAGGGCGAAATATAAATCAAATTTTTTTAAAAAAGCATCTTGACGTGCTGACAATTACATTAATGACTACAATAAAGATTGAGATGAGTATTTAAGGTGTAAATAAATGTGTTTCATTTTCCATTTAAGTGGCATCATTAGTAGCTGCCATACTAAAAGTAATGAACATGGAGTTCATATATTCAGGTTTCACTATGACTTGTCTTACAAGTTCTTTTACAGAATGTAAAATAGAGTTGGAAGGGACCATAGAGGTCTTCTGGTCCAACCCCTTGCTTAAGCAGTAGCCTATACCCGTGATGACGAACCTATGGCACGCATGGCACATGGAGTCATATCTGTGGGCACGCCAGCATTGCCCTACCTCAGCTCCAGCATGCAAGCGCGCGCCAGCCACCTGATTTTCGGGCTTTTTGGGCCCACCAGAAGTCGGGAAACAGGCCATTTCTGGCCTCCAGAGGGCCTCCGGGGGGTGGGGGTGGGGAAGGCCGTTTTCGCCCTCCCCAGGCTCCAAGAAAGCCTCTGGAGCCTGTGGAGGGCAAAAAAACAGACCTACTGGGCCCACCAGTAACCTTTTTGCCATCACGTGCCAAAAGTGGGAATGCGGAGGGGGTGTGCGCGCATGCGTGGGGGGTGGGTGGGGCACAGGGGGCATTGAATTATGGGTGTGGGCACACTGGTGCGCAACCCCCCCCGTGCTCCCCCCCCACTTTAGGCACGCAATGGCAAAAAGGTTATAACTGGCCTATATCATTTTAGACAATTGGTTGTCCAATCCCTTCTTAAAAGCTTCCAGTGTTTCTGAAGGCATGCTGTTCCACTGGTTGATTGTTCTGTCAGGAAATTTATCCTTATTACTCTGTTGCTTCTCTCTTTGCTCACTTTCTATCCATTGCTTCTTGTCTTGCTTTCTGGTGCTATGGAAAATAAATTGACTTCTGTTCTTTGTGGCAGCCCCTGAAATATTGGGGGGGGAAGAGAAAGTGGTAGTAGAGGGTAAGTTATTCCTCTCTGAAGAGTTATATCTACAAAAGGGGTGTCAAACTCAAGGCCCGGGGGGCGGATCTGGCAAACAGGGTGCTTAGATGTGGTCCGTGGGGCTGCCGTGTAAACAGCGAAGGACTGTCCTGCAGTGCCTCTGCCAGCAAAAACAGAACTCCATTTTTGCTGGCAGAGAGTTGCAGGAACCTGTCACAGCTGAAAATGGAGCTCGAGAGCCGGTTTTCACTGGCAGAGTGCTCAGGCCACTGCAGATGCCCCAGAATGAGTGACGTCGAGCTGGCCATGCCCACCCCGGCCCCCTGAGGTCAAACCCTGATGCGACCCTCAATGAAATCAAGTTTGACACCCTTGGTCTACAAAATCTCCATACTTAATTACAAAATGATCTTTTAGCTTGTCACAAGATATAACCAAAGTGTCTCTTCTTTTTTTAAAGTAAGCTAGTTCATTTATTTTCCCTTTGTTTATAGAAACCACCTGTGAATGCCACCTCTCTTCTCTTACCACTTTTATTTCCTTCTAACAAGACAGGAAATATCTTTTTTTTTAATTGAAAAGTTTTATAAGAAATACAAACATTTTCTCCCCCTCGCCCTTCCCCCCCTCAGCCCTCCCCCCCCCCCTTGCCTTCCCACCCATCCCCCCTCAGCCTTCCCCCCACCCCTCTCCCTTGACTTCCCAGAACAAGCACAGGGTATAGCATCCACAAACATAAAACTAAAATATGCTAACAAATTGTTGACTTCAAATTCTTTCTAGGTCTTTAACGCCTTATAACTCAAAACACTATAAACATAAGCTAAAAGTTAAAAATGTTTCACTCATAAGCTATATGAATCTTCTTAGTCTGATACTTGTTTTGAATATAGTCAATCCATCTTCTCCATTCCGTTATGTATCTTTCGTTTGAATGGTCTTTAAGATATGCTGAAATTTTTGCCATCTCTGCCAAATGCACGACTTTTAGTGTCCATTCCTCAATAGTAGGTGGATCTTCCTTCTTCCAATACTGTGCCACCAGTAACCTGGCAGCTGTTATTAAATTCAAAACCAACTTAGTTTCTATTATAGTACAATCCGTAACTATTCCCAACAAAAAAAACTTTGGTGCAAATTTAATCTTTTTCTTTAAAATATTTTGCATAATCCACCATATTTTTATCCAAAAAGCCTTAATTTTTTTATATGTCCACCATATATGAAAATACGTAGCATCTTCACATCCACATCGCCAACACTTAGGTTGTAAGTTTGGATACATACAGGTTAGTTTTTTTGGATCTAAATGCCATCTATAAAACATTTTATAAAAGTTCTCTCTTAAATTTTAAGTTTGTGTAAATCTTACATTTCTAACCCATATCTTTTCCCATGTTTCCATCATTATTGGTTCTCCTACATTTTGTGCCCATTTTATCATACAGTCCTTGACTAGTTCTGTTTCTGAATCTATTTCCACTAAAACATTATACAACCTTTTTGTATGCATTTGACTTTTGTCTCTTATTTGTTTTATCAAATTCTCATCCTGTTGCGAAATACCAATTTTTTGATCTTTTTTTTTTTTTAAATTTGATTTATATGCCGCCCTTCTCCGGAGACTCAGGGCGGCTTACAATGCGCTAAGCAATAGCCTTCATTCTTTTGTATATTTATACAAAGTCAGCTTATTGCCCCCATAACTGGGTCCTCAATTTACCTACCTTAGAAAGGATGGAAGGCTGAGTCAACCTTGAGCCTTGGCGAGATTTGAACCTGCAGGCAGCTGGTCTTAATAACCAGCTTAATAACAGGGTGCCTTAGACCACTGTGCTACCAAGGCTCTTGGATCTTCTCTCCATCTGGCCTGCAGCTGCCCATATTGAAACCAAGTTCTAATTATTCCTTCTTCTCTTAATTGCTCCATAGGTTTTAATTGTAGTCTGACTCCTTCTTTATAAAGGAGTTCTTTGTATGTAGTCTTATCTTGCTTTTGCTCCAAATTTATATTCTCTATCGCGTGTCTGGGTACTGTCCATATTGGTAACTTATCATTTAATTTATATTGATACTTTTTCCAGACACGTAATAGAGCATTTCTTAATATATGACTTTTAAAAGTCTTATCTACTTTCTTATCATACAATAAATAAGCATGCCAGCCGTAGACCAGACCATATCCTTCAATATTTAATATCCTTTCCTCCGTTAAATTTATCCAATCAGTAATTGCTGAGAGGGCAGCGGCTTTGTAGTACAATCTTAAATTGGGCATTTTAAGACCTCCTCTTTCTCGTGTATCTTGCATTATCTTTTTATTTACTCACGGTTTTTTCCCTGCCCAAACAAATTTATTTATGCCCTTCTGCCATTCCTTCAAATTTTCATCTTTTTTAAGTATAGGTATCATTTGAAAAAGAAATAAAAACCTTGGTAAAACATTCATTTTTACTGCAGCTATCCTTCCCAGCAATGACAGTTGTAGTTTTTTCCAATTTTCCATCTCTTTCTGTATTTTTTGCCATAACGGTTCATAGTTGTGCTAATATAATTTCGTATTTGTGGTCATAATATAAACCCCTAAATATTTAACCACCTTAACTATCTCAAATCCTGTTACCCTTTCTATCTCTTCTTTTTGGCTTCTAGTCATATTTTTAGCTATTATCTTTGTTTTAGCAGTATTTATTTTAAAACCAGATACTTGTCCATATAAATTAATTATATCCATCAAGGCTGTAATCAATTGTACTGGTTGGGCTAAGATAACAACCAGATCATCCGCAAATGCCCGTAGCTTATACTCATGCTGTCTAATTTTAATTCCCTTTATTGTATCCGTCCCACGTATTTTACTCAGTAAGATTTCCAGCGTCAAAATAAACAATAATGGAGACGGGACAACCTTGCCTTGTTCCTTTTTCTATATTAAAAAT